TCTCTCTCCGTCCCTCTCCATCTCTCTCCGTCCCTCTCCATCTCTCTTCTCTCCGTCCCCCTCTCTCCGTCTCTCTCCTCATCTCCCCATCTCTCTCTGCCTCCTCTCAACTGATATCTGAGATGTGGGCTTCATCTTAAGAGGAAAGGTTGGACTGATTGGACCTCATTCTGTTGGAATGGAGGGGTGATCGTATTACAACATATAAGATTTTGAGGTCACTAGACAGGATGGATGCTGAAAGGTTATTTCTGTTTGTGGAAGACTGGAACTATGGGACAGAGCACAAAAATAAGTGATCTCTCATTTAAGACAGGAGTCATACAGCACAGAAACAGACCCTTCGATCCAACCAGTCTGTGCCGAACATAATCCCAAACTAAACTTGTCCCACCTGCCTGCTCCTGGCCCATGTCTCTCCAAACCTTTCCCTATTCGTGTACTTATCCAAATGTCTTTTAAATATTGTAACTGTACCCACATCCACCACTTCCTCTGGAAGTTCATTCCACACGTGAACCACCCTCTGCATTTAAAAAAAAAATGCCCCTCGTGTCTTTTTAAATCTCTGTCCTCTCACCTTAAAAATATGTCCCCTCGTTTTGAAATTCCAAAAGACACCTGCCATTCACCTTATCTATACCCCTAATGATTTTATAAACCTCTATAAGGTTGCCTCTCAACCTCCTACGCTCCAGGGAAAGAAGACCCAGCCTTTCCAGCCTCTCTTTGTATCTCAAACATTCCATACCCAGCAATATTGTGGTAAATCTCTTCAGAACCCTCTCCAGTTTAATAACAGCCATCCTCTAGCAGGGCGACCAGAACTGGACACAGTAATCCAGAAGAAGCCTCACCGACATTCTGTACAACCTCAACAAGATGTCCCAACTCCTATACTCAAAGGTCTGAGCAATGTATAACAGATTCTCTTTCTCCTTAATCAACTGGCTAGACGCCGATGATTTCGTCATCCCAGAGAAGACGGGGAATCTCAGGCGTCAAATGATCCGTACCAAGAGCAAAAGGCGTTTTGCTTTCCGAGTCTCCGAGGAAGAACGATTCCAGCAGTTAAGGTGAGGAGATGATGGGGTGGGGGGAGCGCTGGGAGCTGATCACTGGGCTGTAAATGGGATCCCAGGTGCAATAACAAGGGCCTGGAGGCGAGGCTCCAAGGCTGAGAGATTGTGAGCTCGGTGGACAACAGCCTAGAGACCGAAGCATTGATCGCAAAGGAGCGTTAAGCTGTCAGCGGTATCACCAATGGCTGTGAAATGTCAAACCAGAAAACGCCACCTGCCCGGCTGCCCCCTCGTGTGGAGGCAATCCCGCTGATGCTATTTAAAACGTCAGGGTTTTGTAGCGTCCGCTGCTTCCGGTCATTTATATAAATGATTTGGATGTGAGCATAGGAGGTATGGTTAGTAAATTTGCAGATGACACCGAAATTGGTGGTGTAGTGGACAGTGAAGAATGATATCTCGGGATCTTGATCAGATTTAGATAAATGTGAGGCACTGCATTTTGGAAAGGCAAATCAGGGCAGGACTTTATACACTTAATGGTAAGGTCCTGGGGAGTGTTGCCAAACAGAGACCTTGGGGTGTGGGTCAATAGTTCCTTGAAAGTGGAGGCCCATGTCGATAGAACATAAGAACCAAGAACAGGAGTAGGGCCATTCGGCCCTTCAAGCTCGTTCCGCTATTCGGTAAGATCATGGCTGATCTCTTTGTGGCCTCAGTTCCACTTACTCACCCTCTCGCCATAACCCTTAATTCCCTTACTGTTCAAAAAATTATCTATCTTAACTTTAAAAACATTCAAAGAGGCAGCCTCACTGGGCAGGGAATTCCACAGATTCACAACCCTTTGAGTGAAGAAGTTCCTCCTCATTTCAGTCCTAAATCTGTTCCCCCTTATTTTGAGGCTATGCCCCCTAGTTCTTATTTGACCTGCCCAGTGGGAACAACCCCCCTGCTTCTATCTTATCTGTTCCCTTCATAATTTTATATGTTTCTATAAGATCCCCCCTCATTCTTCTAAATTCCAATGAATATAATCCCAGTCCACTCAGTTTCTCCTCATAAGCCAACCCTCTCAACTCCAGAAACAACCTAGTGAACCTTCTCTGCACCCCTCTCCAATGCCAGTCCATCCTTTCTCAGTAAGGAGACCAAAACTGTACACAGTGCTCCAGGCCTCACCAGCTCCCTATACAGCTGCAGCATAACCTCCCTGTTATTAAACTCCATCCCTCTGGCAATGAAGGACAATATTCCATTTGCCTTCTTAATTACCTGTTATAGGATAGTGAAGAAGGCATTTGGTATGCTTGCCTTTATTGGTCAGTGCGTTAAGTATAGGAGTTGGGTGGTCATGTTACAGGACATTGGTTAGGCCACTTTTGGAACACTCTGCCACCTCATTCCATACACACGCCACCCTCTGTGTGAAAAAAATTGCCCCTTAGGTCCCTTCTGAATCTTTCCCCTCTCACCTTAAACCTATGCCCTCCAGTTTTGGGCTCCTCTACCCTGGGGAAAAGACTATTCACCCTATCCATGTCCTTCATGATTTTATAAACCTCTATAAGGTCACCCCTCAGCTCCAGGGAAAATAGCCCCAGTCTATTCAGCTTCTCCCTACAGCTCAAACCCTCCAACCTTGGCAACGTCCTTGTAAATCTTTTCTGAACCCTTTCAAGATTCACAACATCTTTTCTACAGCAGGGAGATTAGAATTGAATGCAAATTCCAAAAGTAGCCAAACCAATGTGCTGTACAGCCACAACATGACATCCCAACTCGTACACAAGATACTGAGGTGTCCTTGTGTCTGACACCCTGACTCTGGTCAATAGTCACAATTAGATTCACAACAACAGGAATTTGTTTATTACTCTGCTATTTGGATTGAACTAATTCTTGGCAACAGTGAGCATGTTTCTCTCTTTTTTTTCTCTCTCTCTCTCTCTCTCATTACTTATTGCAGTTAGAGTTTTTTTTAAAAATAAATAACAGATAATTGATGAGCATTATCTGGAATTGTAAGGGTAACCATGAAACTATCATTGATTGATTGTCGTAAAATACCATCTAATTTTGGGAAAGTAATCTGCCATTCCTTACGTGTTCTGGCCTACCCTGTGTCTCGAAACCCACAACAGTGTGGGTGATTCCTACCTGCTTTCTGAAAGGCCAGGCAAGAAGACATTTTTATTTTTACTCATTCACAAGATGAGGGTGTCACTGGCTAGGCCTAACATTTACTGCCCATCCCTAATTGCCCAGAGGGAATTTAAGAGTCAACCACGTTGCTGTGTATCTGGAGTCACATGTAGGTCAGACCAGGTAAGGATGGCAGTTTCCTTCCTGAAAGGACATGAGTGAACCAATGGATTTTTCCGACAATCAATTCCAGATTTTTTTTTTTATTGAATTCAAATTCCAATATCTGCCGTGGCGGGATTTGAACCCTGGTCCCCACAACATTATCTGGATCCCTGGATTAACAGTCCTGCAATCCACAATAAAGCAGCCCCTGCTTGATTAGCACAAGCATCTACTCCTTCCACCAGCGACGCTCAGTCGCAGCAGTGTGTACCATCTTACAAGATGCACTGCAGAAATTCACCAAAGATTCTCAGACAGCACCTTCCAAATCCACAACCACTTCCATCTAGAAGGACAAGGGCAGCAGATACAGGGGAACACCACTCCCTGCAAGTTCCCCTCCGAGCCACTCACCATCTCGACTTGGAAATCTATTGTCGTTCCTTCACCATTTGAGGTCAAAATCCTGGAATTCCCTCCCTGAGGGCATTGTGGATCAATCCACAGCACATGGACTGCAGTGGTTCAAGAAGGCAGCTCACCCTCACCTTCTCAAGGGGAGACTAGGGACGGGACAATAATCGCTGGACCCAGCCAGCAACACCCACGTCCCACAAAATGAATTTTAAAAAAAGCAAGTTCCCTCACGGGAGAATATTTTTAAAAATTGCTAGCTTCTGCCCTCATGTCTTAGGGAGTCAGGGCTAAAGCACCATGATATTTGACACCCGGCCTGGTCCTGTCAATAACTCGATCCGTTTGTTATTTCCTGTTCTGCAGGGAGATGCTGAAAGACCCCCAGAGGAGGTCCAAGTTAATCTCGAATCCAACCAACTTCAACCACGTGGTGCATGTGGGCCCTCCGCAAGACATGCATAATCTCCGGGATCTGCCCAGGGTCAGTGTCCCTGTCCGGGAAGGGGAGGGAGACTGAGTGAGCGGGAACCAAGGGCAGGTGGTGAGCCGACTTCAAGAATAGCTCCTTCCTAGGGGGAGTAACAAGTCAAAAAAGGAGACAGAATCATCTGCGCAGCCCTCGATAAAATGAGGGTAGGGTGATACAGGATTTCAGCACAACAAATGCGTTTATGTACCAGAGTTTACATCATAAAGTGTTCTTCAGTCAGTCAGTCCAGGGGACCAAATTTGATCGTAAGCCACGCAAAGGGGATATTAGGAAGAGATGTCTGAATGCCTGCTGAGAAGTCAGGTTCAGGAGCCTCTAAAAGGAGGTTAGAGTGAGATGACAAGAGGAAATTCGAGAGCTTAGGGCTCCATTGATGGAGGGATGAAAATCGGGAATGTCAGAGTCTTCAGAATTGGAGCACAGAGACTTTAGTGCAGTGTAGGGGCTGGAAGAGGTTATAGAGGTAGGGAGGGGGTGTAGGGGATGGAAGAGGTTACAGAGATAGGGAGGGGGTGTAGGGGCTGGAGGGGGTGACAGAGATAGGGAGGGGGTGTAGGGCCCGGAGGAGGAGACAGAGATAGGGAGGGGGTGTAGGGGATGGAGGAGGTTACAGATAGGGAGGGGAGTAGGGGATGGAGGAGGTTACAGAGAAAAGGAGGGCGTTACAGAGATAGGGTGGGGTCTCAGGGCTGGATGTGGTTGCAAAGATAGGGAGGGGTGTAGGGGCAGCAGGAGGTTATAGATAGGGAGGGGGTGTAAGGGCTGGAGGAAGTTACAGAGATAGGGAGGGGTGCGGGGGCTGGAGGAGGTTACAGAGATAGGGAGGGGTGCGGGGGCTGGAGGAGGTCAGTAAGATAGGGAAGGATGTAGAGGCTGCAGGAAGTTCGAGATGGTAAGAGCTGAGAGGAGGATGAAACCTTGGAGGAATTTCAATTGAAGGATAAGGATTTAAGATCGATTGTAGCCAGCAGAGGACCTAATGTCAACCTGCAATTGGTGCAAGTTGGGGAGAGTTTAGAATTCTGTGATGTGCCATTGCTGCCATTGGTTGACTGATATGTAAAGCATCATGACAAGGAGCCTAGGTGCAGCCAATTGAGAGAACATAAAAATCTTCACTACCTGATTGGATAATGCCCAACCACAGACAAACAACACTATTTAAAATAAACTAAAAATAACCCAGTGAGAGTCTCTGTGTGTGTGTGTGTGTGCGCGCGCACACGCATGCACGCCCCTATCCGAGTGAGTGAGTGAGTGAGTGAGTGAGTGAGTGAGTGAGTGAGTGAGTGAGTGAGTGAGTGAGTGAGTGAGTGAGTGAGTGAGTGAGTGAGTGAGTGAGTGAGTGAGTGAGTGAGTGAGTGAGTGAGTGAGTGAGTGAGTGAG